CCAAGCGTTACCTCTTTATAAAAGTTGCCCCCACTTTACCAGCACAGATGTTGCCCGGGAGCACTCGCCCTGTGCCCGGGGGCTACTCCCACCAGTGCTCCTGCTTGTTCCTGACCCGCTCCTCATAACCAGTAGTAGATCACAGCACCTGGTAGGTGAGGAGAGGGGGGAAATCCCAGCAGCTGGTTCCAGTTAACTCCTAATCTCTGCTGAGGCTCTTGCAGCGCAGGGGAGAGCTTAAATTTGAGGGGGGTTGTCTTGGAGGAGATGCTGGTGTGGTGGAATGGGAGCTGCTAGCTGGGATGTGCAACACAGAGGAGCTCCTGGCTGTCACTTGGCTGCCCGAGAGAGGACTTTGGAAAGGTGAGGGGTTTGTGCAGGAAGGGGTTATGGCTGGTGATGAAGTAAAGCCGAGGCTGTCTTCTGCTTTGCCTTCCCTCCTTGCTGGTAGTGATGAGGGTGCCCTCCATGCCCGTCCCTGCCCCTGGGAGTGGGGGGCAGCATCCTGGGGGGTGACCAGGGCTGCCCCAGCAGCACGAGTGGGTTGTCCAAGATGTTATGTGATGTCTACAGCTGTATCCAGAGGTGTGTTTACACGGGGGACACTTCAGGACTGAGACGGAAGAGTCACTTAAGAGACAGGAATTTCAAATGAGGGTTGATGTTCTTGGGGCTTTGTGATCAGTAGATCCCACCATTGGAGGCTTCTGGCCAGCAGGAGACTTGGATAAGCAGGATCCATGTGGGAGATGGGGAACACATGCGTTGGGGAGGGCATGATGGGGCTGCAAAGCCCTGGGCTGGGGGCGGGGGTTCCCCCCGGGCCATCGCTGGGGAAATCGGTTGTGGTTTTTTCCCTGGTTCTTGTAATGAGGTTTTGGTCTTCTGGGACCTTCTCCTCCTCACTGCTGGTTTGCTCTAGGCACTGGGACGCTTCTGCTACCCCACTGCTGCTCCCAGGGTGGTTTTCCTGAACCTCCCCCTTTTTAGACTTTCTTCCTGGGCACGTCGAAATGGCTGTGGGGGTCGGCGATGACCCGCTCCGGCCACGCGGAGGCTCATCCCACCAGTGGCGCATAGTACCGTGCAGAGGGCACGGGCCCCCTTTCCCCTTTTGTGCCCACACGAGTCCAGCCCCGTAGCACGTGTTGCTG